TGAGCAAAAATTTGTGAGATAGCTAGTTATAATGGTAATTAAATAATGTTTACATATGTATAAAAGCCTACATTAAAATCTGTCATATAAATTGGTCTCTTCATTAGAAATTAGCCTACTGATTGCCACCATTGATGGACAAAATTCGTTCATAATATTAAAAATATCTGTATGACATTATATTCTGCAGTTCTTCCCTGTTGTACGAAAATAGAAATTTAAATATTGTGACAAAATTAATTTTGTAGGGTGCCACAAGTTTGTTAAAATTTCCAAAGGGTGCCGCGACTAAAAAAAGGTTGGGAAACACTGGCTTAGATAAAAGGCATATGCGATGTCGAATGAATGCAAAACACTGCTTCTTCCTCTTGAACTCCCCAAAGATATACCCAGGATCTAGAACTAAACGATGTTTGGAAAAGATCCAATGAAAGAATGGTACTTCAGTATATAAACCATTGTATGCACATTCATAAAAAACTGCATGCCAGTTCAAAGAATACACAGACCATGGACAATGTACTAGCAACATTTTGTTAGGTACTTTTGTTTTTGGGAGCATGCTAGCACCATGTTTTTTTAAGTACATCACAGTTCTATGCAAACACCATCTGATACCACCATTGTACTATGTTACCGCCACTTTTGCACGGGTAAACCGAGACTTATCACAGCTAAACGTTCTGGGCTGTTGTTACTAAACGCCTCATTAATTATGCATGCAAGCAGCACTCGGTAACAGTCTCAGAAAGATGAGAGACCCTGCTACCGACTCCCGCGAGCACAACCGATCGATCGCGAGGAGACGATCATTTAACACGCGCTCACCGCTGATACCAAATATATCAAAACACAATCTAATCAGCCGGTGTAGCCTGTGCAGAATGATTATTGACCCCCCAGAGAAGTACGTTTGTTTTCCGCACGCACGAGATTAAACAGATCTCGCGCTCGAAGGTTACTCGGCGGGACACACATTTGACTTTTAAATAAGCCTCAGAATAACTTCTGAAATCACATTTAAATCCCAAACCACAGGAAATCAGATATCGCCAGTTAAATCACTTTTCAAAAGGGAAATAAAACAAAAAACGCTTACAGATCCGAGGCAGTACGGGAGTTTTGTTCGCTCCGTCGCTGTCCGCGGTGCTGAACTCATTCCTGATCCGGTCACCGACGAAAGAGACGCACAAACACTCTCTGCTTTCGCTAAAAGAGCTTATCGACCCGCGGACAGCCGCTTTTATCCTATTTGACGTCCAGCTACGTCACACTCGCACCAGATCCTTCCGACTCCACAAACAAGCCTTTGCCATCTTGAGTAAACACACTTTCTTTTATAGATCTATCTAAGCAACAGCATTTCAGGCGACCACGACACTCTGTGTCAGCTATAAACAGCAAGAGAGGACCTGAGAGCAGTAGTGAAGAGCCTTTATCTCTCTTATAATACTCATCATTACAAAACTTAAAAAGTATCTCGTATCTCCCTCTTTTATTTGGATAGCAGCAACACTCGATCTGGCATTGAAGAAAACAACAACCTAAAGATCAGCCAATATTAGCCTACTTAGTTACCTAGAATAAATCACGTAAATCTCTACCTGATCGCAGCCTTTAGTTTTGTCAGTTCAGTCCAGATAAATAACATTTGACTGGATTAAAACCAGGTCATTTAGATTATCAGACTATCTATTTTAGTCATGCTCGACGCTGCGCTTCACTTGTAGCTGTTTCGTTCACTCTCTGTATTGTATGTTTACTTTATTGTATTCTGTGCATTATGGGTTGTGAACACGAGTCATAAACGGTTGTTTTTTAAAAACTAGCGTGAAACGGCTGTTCTCGATTGTCTGTAACGTCACGTACTGATCCGTGATCTCAAGCCAGATTTAAACGATCAAAACCGCCGAGATTCAGACGGTCTCATCTATCAAAAACGGGTCGTATCACCCACAGCTGGTACAAACATGATGAATAAAGAAAGGGCAGTTTCTCACCTCCGTGGCCATGTTGCCATGCGAGCGCGAGATGCTTGTCCCGGGTGCTGAAACCGTTCAGTGAAACGGGAATAAACGTTTGCGCCGGGGATGAACGGAGAGGGGGCGGAGCCGGAAACAATCACACAATGTGATGACGCGCGAGGGGAGGAGCAACTGACACCGCCCTCAAGAATTTTCAACAGCCTGTCTTCACTAATTACAATTAAGCATTACTATATAAATTTGTCAGCTGAAAAAAAAACAGCTAAAACCAGTCTAAACTTCTTTACTTTCAGCTAAAGACCAGCCAACCAGTTTTTTTCGTACGTTCACGAAGTGGCGTTCGCCTGGGGAGGTAATGTAACCATAGCAACAATATGTCACAACGAGCGCTTTTCAGTATAAAACGGTCGGGAGAACGACAAAACCGCCATTATAACCTTTATTATAGACAGTCACATCACAGATATAACCACAAAACCGCAATGTTTTGTTTAAAATGTATTTAAGGTAAATGACAGTTGGCTAACTGTGCGAGGCGCCAAAATACAGACGGGGGGGCGCGAAAATTCCCCTCAGAAGTTCCACACGGCTATATTCAAATTTAGATTGTTTATTACTGTAACAGAAGATTTAACCAAGGAAGCAAACGGTGTTAAACTATGGATAACTTACCCAAAGTATCTGAATTTATGTTTAAATAACAGTAGTACGACATGACAGGAACAGAGCTCATCCTTTCAATAACAAAGCGAACAGGAGAACTCTTGTGAGGATCTGATAGACTAATATAATGGCATTATTTTGATTAGTATAAATGCTTTCTGAGAATGTTCCAACAATAAACATAAATATATAAAGTAAATCTTTTTCCGAGACAAAAATTACACAAATTATATAACCAAAAATCATGGGTTTAAGCAGATAAGCAGCTAGCAGAAGGTTAAATTGTAAAACTGACTAGTTAAAATGGTTAAGAGAGAATTAAACTGACTCGTTTTCTTAAGTTATTGATGTCAACTAAACTAATCAGATTTGACAGTATGTGGAACAATATATAGGAGCCAGCTAAAATGCTCAGATCCACTGGTTTTGGCATTTAAGGCAATAAATAACCAACATAATTTCCATGGTCTTGTTCTCCTCTTTAGTATGATGTGATATAATAACAACAACAGATAAACAGGGCCCTTGATATTAAACTGATATCTCACCAAGGGCTCATTCTGGAAATTGATGCCATAATACGAGTTGATGAAACTACAGTATTTGATTTTGCAGTATAGTGAATTCCTAGTAAACTAATCAATCTTGGCGTGAGGCTTTGATAAATATTAGCGGTGGATGTGGAAAGCAGCATATTCCAAGGAAAAAGTCACCATTAAAGGAGCCCTCACATGTTTTCGACAAGCAAAAAACTCTGAGGAACCTCAGGAAGAGAGTTGAGGCAACATAAGCTGCAGGGTTTTGGTCCTCCATGTGAAATGCTCCACAAAGAAAGAATGAAACCTCAAGAATCGCTGAAGCTTCTTTTACAGGATTGCAATGGTGGAACATTGTTTCATTACTTGGTGCTGAGGAAAGTATTACACATAGCACAAACAAACACAGTCTCTCTTTGGGCCTCAGGAGCTGAAGAATCAAGAGAAAGAAAAAGAACATTGTGTAAAACCATCTTCAATAAAACATTATTTACAAGATTCACATGCTCTTCTCCTACCTGTGGCTCCCATACTGGATCTGAGCACTTTATACGAGCAACAGCGGGAACAAAAACTGACACCACAGTTACTGCAGTTTCTCTGGAAAATGACAATGATCATGAGTGAAACAACATCATACAAGTTGAATAGCATGTTCAACAGGATGAAGCTCAGAGGTCATACCCTTTTCTTTAAAACAGAAAACGCTGAACTGCACTGGAAACAGTTCCCTGTGGAAGGACAAAAAGAAAATATGGTTTTAAAGATATAATATGGATGGCAAAAAGAATGAAGAATAAAGAGATCTATAGTGACCGGTGGTGTTGGCAGGGACTCGCTTGCGAAGTTTCTCAGTGAGTTTGGACACTTTACTGCGAATGGGCTCGTTTCTGCTCAACAGCCCGTTATCAGACACTGTGTCAAACTCAGGAACACCAGAAGACATGTCCTCATCATCCTACCACGGATAAACACATGGAAATACAGAAATAAATGAATGACATTCATATTTAGAAGAAATGACAAGTGACAGATCTGAACCCATTAGCACTCATGTTCAGCTCGACACCAAAAGATCTTTCACTTCCACCCTCTCATGACAAAACCTGCACACAACCTCTAAAAACACGTGGACATTTTCCACACATATACATACTGTATATACAGTGGGTACGGAAAGTATTCAGACCCCCTTCAATTTTTCACTCTTTGTTATATTGCAGCCATTTGCTAAAATCATTTAAGTTAATTTTTTTCCTCATTAATGTACACACAGCACCCCATATTGACAGAAAAACACAGAATTGTTGACATTTTTGCAGATTTATTAAAAAAGAAAAACTGAAATATCACATGGAAAAGGGTGCTTCTACTAAATACTGAGCAAAGGGTCTGAATACTTAGGACCATGTGATATTTCAGTTTTTCTTTTTTAATAAATCTGCAAAAATGTCAACGATTCTGTGTTTTTCTGTCAATATGGGGTGCTGTGTGTACATTCATGAGGAAAAAAAAATTAACTTAAATGATTTTAGCAAATGGCTGCAATATAACAAAGAGTGAAAAATTGAAGGGGGTCTGAATACTTTCCGTACCCACTGTATATATAGGTGAATGACTTGATTTTTCCAAATTGATTCCAAAAATTATTTTGATTTTGAATTTATTTATTTGATGGTCAAAAACGTCAAGGTAGTATAACTATTTAAGTTATAAAAAACATATTTCATATTTTTTGGAATTTGCACATCAAATAGTGTGACCCAAGAAAATGTATATTCATGATTACATACTCTAATACACTCCAAACTTTCATTGAAAGTGGTATAGCATTTTTCAAAAACATGAACATCGCACATGTGTTTTCGACTAAACTAAATTTTTACACCAGATCCTCGTCATTGACCCATGTACATAAATCAGTGCACTCTCCTCATGTGAAGGTGTGTGAAGGTTTTCTCTCTGTGTTAGTTCCGCTCTGTATGTCGCGGGCTTTGGGTTTAGAGATCAGATTCACTGAAGTCATTAGAAACAGATGAATCCCTGCGCCTGTAGCGGCACGTGTGACGACTTCGGTAAATCTGACCCATGTTTGTTGCTGCTGAGCTTTGTTTCCTGCAGTGATCCGATGACTGGTGAGAGGTCTCAGATTTCTGTGCCGCACAGCACTTAACACCATAAAAACACCACAAGCCCTCGAAATACAGGCTCTAGTGAAGGTTGGGCACATTTCAAATAAGTTAATTCAATTCAGATCCCAAACTGAACGTATTCATAAATGTATTTCAGAATTCTGAATACCTCTTAAATGGACAATAGAGTAGCCCATCTCATCACTATGTTTGTTAGTAGACATTCCCAACCCTTTTCATAACAAGACCTCGCAAAGAAATAGTGTGACAATCCACCCTGACCTGAAGGAAGTTCCACCAAGTAACCATTTCCTGTGACATCACTGTTAATAGAAGCTACCGAAATGAATAAAGGCATGAGGAGGTGTGGTTAGAACACCTAGATCATGATTGACAGGTGTGTGTGGGCACCTTACGGGCTCTCCATCTCCTCAGTTTCTTTGGTAGCAAAAAGGCTACAGGCCACACCTAAATTCAAAACACGGGCCGGACAGTTTTACAACGCTCATGCCTCTTATAACAAGATACATTCGATTATTATTCTTGAAGAAGTCAACTATTAGGTCTGGATTTGATCTTGATCCACTGTGCGTCTCGTTTGAGGTTATTTGTAGTTGATGAGATAAATGAAATACATCTTATTTTAAATTCACACCTGAACACAGTCAAGACATACAGGTGAATCTCACAAGAATATTTCCAGGTCACATTTCACCCCATAATCAAAATAAAATAAATGACATTCTGCTTAAAGACAATGAAGCGTCCATTAAAAAAATTATTTAACTTATCTAAATCATTATTTTTCCCCAGACATCTCTTGACAGGTTTTGTGAGATGCACCCTACTAAAATCTAATTATCATACATAATCCTGTGCACATGCATTCAGAGCATTTACATTAATGCAAAAACATGCACACGAAGACAGGATGTTTCTTCACTCATTTGGAGTTACTGTGAATTTACTCAAATATTAAATGCTCTGGGTTACTCTATTACTCACCACTAAAGCCAGAGGAGTTTCCTTGGATAGCAGAGTAAAGGTCAGAGGTCAGACATGTACACATACACACTAAACCACATGACTAAATCTACTTGGACAGTGAGAAGGCTGATATCTACACTCATAAATACACACGCTATATCTGCACACTCAGCTGTGGTCTAACATTAATGCTATAAGTCTCCACACCACTAGAGGGAGCTACTTACCGGCAGAATAAGCTGAGATTCCTTGAGCAGGCAAAGAGCAGAAATGAGAGAACATGTCAGAAAAAGAAACAGACAGACAGATAGATAGACAGACAGACAGACAGACAGATAGACGAGAGATAAATAGACAGACAGACAGACAGATAGACAGACAGACACAGACATATAGATAGATAGATAGACAGACAGAGAGATAAATAGACACAGACAGACAGATAAATAGACAGACAGAGAGACAGACAGACAGATAGATAGACAGACAGACAGAGAGATAAATAGACAGAGACAGACAGACAGATAGATAGACAGACAGATAAACAGACAGACAGATAGATAGATAGACAGAGAGATAAATAGACAGACAGATAGATAGACAGATAAATAGACAGACAGAGAGACAGACAGACAGATAGATAGACAGAGAGAGAGACAGACAGACAGACAGATAGATAGACAGACAGACAGACAGATAAACAGACAGACAGATACAGACAGATAGATACAGACAGACAGACAGACAGACAGAGCTACTTACCGGCAGAATAAGCTGAGATTCCTTGAGCAGGC